AGGCATCCAACTTTGGCTCACGTCCTGATCTCACGGTTTGGGCCCTGCGCTGGGCTCTGTGCTGAGAGCTCAGAGCCTGTAGCCTGCTTCAGATTCTGTGTCTCCATCTCCCTCTCTCTGCCCCTCCCTGGCTCATGCTCTGTCTCTCTCTCAGAGAGTGAATAAACATTAAAAAAATAATAATAAAAAAAAATCTTTGGGTGAGACCAAGGTCAGTGGCAAAAGCAGAGAATGAAGAGGTAACAAAAAAATAAAGCAGGGATAGAGGGGAATACAGAAGGGTAAGAAAGAGAGACACAAACACATTACATAAGTAAGCATGACATAAAGAAGAAAACTGCTGCACATAATGGCAAGTAGCAGGAAGATGTTTAGGTTGCCCAAATGAGGTTCAGATTTACATAAATACAATTCTGGGGTTTCCTTAAGTATTATCCAACAATTACAAAGCAGGAAGTTTACATCAGTGTAATTTTTTGTTATCAGAACTTCTTATCAGTGGAAATCAAACTTTAACAGTTGCCTATGATATTCTAAAGTTTTTACCAACAAAACCAAATCTGAGATGTGGATCTTCACTTTTTCTCCTTCATCACATTGGGGACTATGAGTGACTTCTAGAGTAGCCAGTATACCAGTATAGATAATCCTTCAATAAATCTCCAAATCAATTTGAGGGAATCATAAGCCTTCACTAAATCCTGGTAGCATGTATCAACTTAACTATGTATCACACCTATAAAGGATGAAGTTCTTAGAGAGCTCATGAAACTGACCACCTAACTGAAAGTTGAAACAAACACAAAATACTGTGAAAGGCAAAAGAATGAGAATTCACCGAAATGCTACAGAAAACCGCATGCTGAGAGGAAACAGAGGGTGGATTTTCCCCCTTTTCCCTATCGGTCTACTCTCTGTACATAGGTCCATCACTCTTGGCAGGTGGTGGATAAAATTTCACATTTGTGAGATAAACAGGTAAGTAAAAGAGAATCACTACCTCCGAAGTAATAAATGCAATTTTTAATGTAGAAATGACATGAGCAGTCTATAAGAGACACAAACATAATTTTCAAACAATATCCCAACTCACTTTTGCAGACTCAGAAAGTATGGCCCAGCCCCTTCCTTGTTAAGTAGCAACATTATATTTGAAAACACTGACCTTAAGTAACCAGTACACATCTGATACCAGAGCTATAAAATGGGGGAGATTTAGAACTTAACCGAAGATTTTTCCCTTCTAACAACTTGAGTCCTTTAAGTCCCTAATTTAATAGTTTCAAAACATCGGGGTCATATGAAGTTGCACTACTGCTTTTCAGTACCGCATAAACACAGCAGATGTTGACCAAACATATCAGTAGAATAAGAGAACATACATTAGATCCATGCCGGCCAAGAACTTCCCATTCACCACTGGTAATTGCTATTTCCTCTTTGACAGGACACTTGAAATCACCTAAAGATAAACATAATTACAATTCAGCACTCTATCAGACTATAAGCAAATGACTTACAGAATAAAGAACACTATTCTAAAATTCTTCTTTCCAAAAACATACATTAAAAAATTCAAGTTATGTCTGGGGTAATAAAATGTTTTGAAACTCAACAGAGGTGGCGAATGCACAACACTGAATGTACTGTTCATTTTCTTTTACTTCTTAATATTTTAATTTTTATTTTTAAAGTAATCTCTAAGGGTGCCTGGGTGGCTCAGTGATTAAGCATCTGACTTTGGCTCAGGTCATGGTCTCACAGTTTGTGGGTTCAAGCCCTAGCGTTGGACTCTGCACTGACAGCTCAGAGCTTGGAGCCTGCTTTGGGTCCTCTGTCTCCCTCTCTCTCTGCCCCTCCACCGCTTGCACTCTCTCAAAATAAATAAATAAACATTAAAAATAAATAAATACATACATACCTACATACATGCATACATACATACATACATGTAATCTCTATACCCAACCTGGGGCTTGAACTCACAACTCTGATATCAAGTGTCACATGCTCTACTGACTGAGCCAGCCAGGTGCTCCACCACTGTTTAATTTAAAATGTTTGTTTAAAATGTTTATTTTAAAATGGCTAGTTCAGGGGTGCCTGGGTAGCTCAGTTGATTAAGTGTCCACCTCTTGATTTGGCTCAGGTCAGGAGCTCAGGGTTCACGAGTTCAGGCCCTGTATCGGGCTCTGCGCTGATAGAGCGGAGCCTGCTTGGGATCTTGGTTTCCTTCTCTCTCTCTGTTCCCCACCCCCACCAAGTTGTGCACTCACTTGCTCTCTCAAAATAAATAAACTTATAAACCTTAAGATAAAATTAAAAAAAAAAATGGCTAGTTTAATGTTGTATGAACTTCACCTTAAAGTTTATCTATTTATTTTCAGAGAGAGAGAGTGAGAGAATCTCAAGCAGGCTCCATGCTGTCAGCACAGCACCTGACGTGGGGCCAGAACTCACGAACCGTAAGATCCTAACCTTTGCTGAAATCAAGAGCCAGACACTCAACTGATTGAGCCACCAGGCGCCCCTCACCTTAATTTTAAAAAAAGTCTACAGTTAAAAAAACCCCATTACAAGTCTTCACAATACTCTGCAATAATAGTGGAAGGATCCATGTAAATCAAATGAAAACAACAAAATAGATTCTGATTACAAAGCCAGAAAAGAATTCAAAAGGATTTGTATTCCTAGACCTTTGATCAGACAAGGAAGTCTAATGGGTTAACAAGGCATTTCTTCTAGAAATGCAACAAAATACTTAAAAAGCCACAGAAGAAAATTTTTAATAGAATTGTTCTTCATTTGCCAAAAAGTAAACTAGGTATAAACACAGTAAATGCCAACATGCCCCATTGTCTTTACAAGATTCTGTCTGGATAGAGAAGACTCTCTCAGTGGCCTAAGGAGGAGGTTCAGAAATGGAAAACCATTCCTGTTTGCCTAGCAGCACTACGGGGAGAGACAGCTGGGGACAGGATGAGAAGGTGAGATAGTACAGGGTCTTAACTAGGGTCCTACTAAAGTTAAAAAAGTTGATTTATTTTTTCTTTGGATGCAAAAATTCAACTTAGTACTTTAAACTTTATGACCAGAAAATAAATAGTACTTAACATATATATAACAAATACTAATTACTTCACATTATAGCCACTTTAGAAAGAGGAGGGAGGAGGAAAATAAAAAGGGTATCAAGAAAAAGGAAGACATGGAGCAAGAAAAACTAAGAAAAAAGGGAAGAGAAAGAAGAGGTAGATAAACTGAGGGACCTAGAAAGACACTGAAAGGGAACAAAGAAGCTAAGCTTCTGAGATGAATGTTAACTGAGGTAATGGTTCTGACATTCTTCAATCAGAGTAAAATATTTTAAGTTATTAAAATTTTTAATACTTTTTATTACTGCCCCCCAAGTACTATGTTAATTAACTACTATTCAGAGCTCTTTGACCAGTTTTCATCACTAAAATTTCTGGAATTTTGAAAGGGGACTTAATTTATGTAAACAACAGGAGTTTTACCGAGAAGTTTAAGGAAGACATTCTTCATCTTGGATATACAAGATCTAGTCTGCCTTAAAGAAAATTAGGCTAAGGAAAGGAGCAGGGTCTACACAGTATCTATTTTGCTAGTCCTAAGATATAGCTCATTTCCCCATATTTAAAGGCCACATTGAGAAAAACAACCCACTTTAAAAGTTAGCAAAGGATGTGGGGCATCTGGGTAGCTCAGCTGTTTAAGTGCCTGACTCCTGATTTCAGATCAGGTCATGAACTCAGTTCAGTTCCTGAGTTCCAGCCCCACTTTGGGCTCCCTGCTGACAGTGTGAAGACTGCCTGGGATTCTCCCTCCCTCCCTCTCTCTCTCTCCCTCCCTCCCTCTCTCTCTCTCTCCTGCCCCTCCCACCTTGTGTGCACACACGTGCTCTCTCTCAAAACAAATAAATAAACTTAAAAAAAAAGTTGGCAAAGGATTCAAATAGACATTTCTCCAAAGAAGACAGGTAATAACACATGAAAAGAGGCACAATGTTACTGGTCATTAGGGAAACGCAAATCAAAGCCACAATGACATACCACTTCATACCCACTAAGGGTGGCTATTACCAAAACAAATAAAACAAACAAAACACACAGAAGATAACAAGTGTTGGCAAGGATGTTGATAAATTGGAACCCTTGTGCGCTGCTAATGGGAATGTAAAATGGTGCAGCTGCCAAGGAAAAGAGTACGGTGGTGCCTCAAAAAATTAAAAACAGAACTCCCATATGATCCCGTAATTTCATTTCTGGAAAAGAACTGAAGGCAGGGTCTCAAACAGATATCTATACACCCACCTTTATAGCAGCATTATTCACAATAGCCAAAATGTGGAAGGAACAAGTGTCTGTGGCTAGATAAATGGAAAACACAATGTGGTCTATACACACCACTGAATTTATTCAGCCTTAAAAAGGAAGGGCGTTCTCACATATGCTATGACATGGATGAGGACATTATGCGATGTGAAATAAGTCAGACATGAAAGGGCAAATATGGTATGATTCCACTTATATGAAGTATCTAGAGCAGTTAAAATCATAGAGACAGAAGGTAGTTGCCAGGGGCTGAGGGGAGGGAGCAATGAGCTGAGCTGGGTATTACTTGTTAGGCAGTTTCAGCTTTGGAAGATGAAAAAAGTTCTGGAGGCAGATGGTAGTTATGGTTGCGTGACAATATGAATATACTTAATGCCACTAAACAGTACCCTTAAATGGTTAAAATGGTAGATTCTGTTATGCACATTTCGCCACAATTTTAAAAAATGGCTATGTTGAGTCAATTAAGTTACAAAGGGCAGTTAAGCATATAACATTACCATAAAGTGCCTACTATTCCAAAACAAACTCTATTATTAAAGTAGAAAATTATAACTCCATTAAAACAAATAAACGGGAAAACTATTAGATAAACCATTTCACTTCTTCTAGGCTTACATATCCATTCTGTATTACATTCCCCAGAAGGAAAACCATAGCTTTTTATTTATTTATTTTGAGAAAGAGCGTGAGTGGGGGAGGGGCAGAGAGAGACTCCAAAGCAGGCTGGCAGCGGGGTGTGAGGCTCAATCCCATGAACCAGGACTTCATGACCTGAGTCAAAATTGGAAGTTGGGTGCTTAACCAACTGAGCCACCAAGGCACCCCAAACCATCACTTTTATTAAAAAAATTTTTTTACTGTTTATTTATTTTTGAGAGAGGGAGAGAGAGACAGAGCACGAGCGGCGGGAGGGGCAGAGAGAGTGGGAGACACAGAATCCAAAGCAGGTTCCAGGCTCTGAGCTGTCAGCACGAAGCCTGATACGGGGAACCCACGAACAGTGAGATAATGACCTGAGTCAAAGTTGGACTTCGACACCCAAAACCATCACTTTTTAGAGAGAAATTACTTCAGCTGACACAATGTTTAGTTTCACTTTGGGCAATATAATTGTATCAATGTGAAGAGCTACAATCATATTGACTTCAGTGTAGATGCAGACAGTATTTTAAAAAATGAGTATGGGGGCAGGGCGCCTGGGTGGCTTAGTTGGTTAAGCGTCCAACTTTGGCTCAGGTCATGATCTCACAGTTCTTGAGTTCTTGAGTTTGGTCCCTGCATCAGGCTCTCTGCTGTCAGTGCAGAGCCCACTTTGGATTCTCTGTCTCCCTCTCCACTTACTCTTTCTCTCTCTCTCTCAAAAATAAATATTAAAAAAAAAAAAAAAGAAAAAAAACTAGTATGTAAAAAACAAACCAAGAACAAACTAGTATATAAAAATATCTAATAACCAAGTAACATTTTAACAGTAGCTTTTTAACATCTAAATATGACATGGGCTCATTTTAAACAAAAAAAATTACAGTCAAAGCAAAAGTAGAAAGCAAAAATAAGTAATTCCATTCCCAGAGATTACCCACTATTAATATACATATCCATCAAGAACTTTGTTCTGTGTTTTCACATGTGCATGTATTTATATTTTAGTTTAACTTCTGTATTAAGTTATTTTTCATGTTATTTTTGAGACAGGGCACGTGAGCAGGGGAGGGGCAGAGAGAGAGAGACAGAGAGAGAGAGAGAGAGAGAGAAAATCTGAAGCAGACTCTGCGCTGTCAGCGCAAAGCCCGACATAGGGCTTGAACCCACGAACCGTGAGATCGTGACCTGAACCAAAGTCGGTCCCTCAGCTGACTGAGCCACCCAGGTGCCACACTTATGTATAAAATTTGATGAAGCAAGTACCAATGCTTACAAAGTATACAAAAGAGACATTACATTACCTTGCCCCTCCCACCTTCTGCCAACATATATATGTTTTTTAAATAAAAAAGGATTTCTTACTTGGGGCAGGCAGCCCACCACTGGATCGTTTATATTTGCTCTCCTTTAAAATGGATGTAATTTTGTATAAATGACGAAAACCTGTTTTGCATTCAGAGGCAAAAATAAATTCAATTTCATCTTCATGACTTTGGGGAAAAACATGAAAGATGTCATGGATCTGTAAAATGAATAGCTGAATTTACTACACACATTAATGAAAATACTGCACAAACAATTCAATTAAGTTAGATAAAGAAGAATTGATAAATACATTCTGAAATATAAGCAACTGTCAGTGCTGGGGGTAATGTATATTTATGATATAGATTTTGCCTGGGCCCTTCAGACTTATCTCACTTTAGACATAGACTTCCTCCATTGAGAAATAAATGTTTCCAAAAGGTGAAAAAAGAAAAATACGACCAAAAGCTTTTCTTACTCACCATCTCTGTAATCCTTTGAAACTCGGCATGAGGTTTTATTATACAAATCTTATTATAGAATCTTATTATTCTTTTTTTTATTTTAAATATTTTATTTGTTCATGTAATCGCTATACCCAACATGGGGATTGAACTCACAACCAGATCAAAAGTCACATGCTCCACCAACTGAGCCAGCCAGGGGCCCCTTATTACTTACTCTAATTCAAAATCTTACTACTTTTCTTTCCAAAGAGAAATATTTTAACAGTTGAAGGGTGAATCATATGAAGCCTGTATTCATCCAGGGAGTGATCTGGCTTTATTAATTTTGTATCTTGTTTAAATTTTTTCCACTAAATTGGAAAATTGGTAAGTTTTAGTATAGTCTGCCAACTTAAAAGAGAAAGTCTTTTCCAGACCTCTACTGAGGTCCTCCTGAGAAGCACTCATGAGGCTGTTTTCAATACCTCACGTGTCCAGGAAAAGGGGAAATTTGTAGCCAAGGAGATGTCATTTCAATGACATCTACTTTCTATCTATAAGCCATTCCATTCTGGAACCATCATTCCAATTTGAAATGTTCAAACTTAGCAAATAACATTCACGGTTACTTGAATTTAAAAAATTCATTTTGATAGTTTGCTATAAAACTTCACTTGCTTTAGCATTCTGAGAAAATATTTAACCAAGTACAGGAAAACATACATTTATCCAGATGTCTGTTGTTTCTTCATAGATAATCAGTGGCGTCACAGAGTCAGGCACCGACTCGATGAGTCTCTGTCTTTCCATGGCATCATCTTCTACTGGGATAAATAATTCAGGTGAGATCAACACTATCTGTAGGCGAGTTTGGGAGCGATCTAGTAGAATGGACCAAGCACTATTTAAACAAACAAAACAAAAAAAGCACCAAAAATAAAGCAGGCTCTCAGAAAATGAATATTCCCTTACTCTCTCCCCTGGCACCCATCAGTTATTTCTGTAATCACATTAAAGAATTGCTTTAAAAGATATTAAATTATCACCTACAAATGGCCAATTAGAAGTATTAGCTTACTCTATATTTATTTTTTAAAGTTAAGCTTGAATAAAGCTTTTTTTAAAACTGGTTTTCTTTAAACTCCTAAAACCACAACTAGCCTGTGAAATTGTTTTCTCCCTTTAGTGTCACCAATTGCCAGCCTTGTGAAACTCCTGTTGTCTACGTTAGGAACTATATGCAACCATCTTCACATGAAACTCTACAAAAATTTTTGCTTAAATTATTAAAAAAAAAAAAAAGAACACACCCTTACATGTGAGTCCTAAAGTCATACAATTTAACCACAAAAAAACTTTGAAACCATGAGTGGCTATGTAAGAGAGAGAATTGAAATGCAGTGCCCCTATGCTTATAGGAATAAAAAATCCACAAGGCCACTTAGCTCAGGAAAAATTCTCTGTGCAGAAATAACTACTCTGCAAATTTACATGTGAGGGCATCTCCAACTGAGGGGCAATTTCTAAAGTTCTGGATTCTAAATTATTTGTAAACAAGTGACAATTTAACATACGCACTATTTTCCCTCTGGAGTCCATCCAGCTCTGGCAATATATTCAACTCCTTCAAACAGAATCTCAAAAGGTTGAATCAGTTCCTTATCTATGACATCGATAATCTTTTAAAAAAGAAAAAAAAGGATTCTAGTTACAGAAGACATAGATCAATAACCAGTTTACTAGTCTACTTAAATCATTATCTTTTTTTTTTTTAATGTTTATTTATTCTTGAGAGAGAGACAGACAGAAACAGAGCATGAGTCGGGGAGGGGCAGAGAGAGAGGGAGACCCAGAATCTGAACCAGGCTCCAGGCTCTGAGCTGTAAGCACAGAGCCTGATGCGGGGCTCGAACTCACAAACTGTGAGATCGTGACGTGAGCCGAAGTCGGACTCTTAACCAACTGAGCCACCCAGGCGCCCCTTAAATCATTACCTTTAACAGCATGACAGCTTTTCAGACTTAAGTATTTAAATAGGCATGAGGGATACAGCAAAACTAGCGGTAAGTTGTGGGTTACCTACACTAGTGTACTCTTTATGTCTAACAAAGTTCTAAGAACGAGAATTAGCACAGTCTAAAAGTCTTTTTCCATGAGTTTACACTGAGAGCCCTTGCTAATAAGTGGTAACAACAAGTTTTAATCACTTTAGAGTCTAGTATCAAAGAAAAATAATAGTTCCTGATTTCCTATATTTTAGCCTAAAATAGGATTTGTGTAATGTATTAATAAAATGGCCCTTAGTAAGCAAATTTTTTCCTTTAAAAATCTAGCCAACACAAAAAGTAAGTTTTTTAAAAAAGGGCAAAGGATCTGAATAGATAGTTCTCCAACGAAGATACACAAATGGCCAATAGGCACATGAAAAGATGCTCAACATCATTAGCCATCAGGAAAATTTAAGTCAAAATAACAGTGAGATACAATTTCAAACTTACTAGGATGGCTATAATCAATAAGATGAATAAAAGTGTTGATGACGATGTGGAGAGATTGGAAACCTCACACAATGGGAATGTAAAATAGTGCAACCACTTGGGGCAAATAGTCTTGCAGTTCCTCAAAGGTTAAACATATAGCTATCGTGTGACTGAACAATTCTGTTTCTAGGTATCTAACCAAGAGAAGTGAAAAACATACACACACATTCATGGTAGCATTATTCCTAACAGTCAAAAGGTGGAAACAGACTAAATGTCCATAACTGATGAGTAGATAAAGTGTTGGGGCACGTGGCTGGCTCAATTGGAAGAGTGTGCAACTCTCAACGTCAGGGTTCTGAGTCTGAGCTCCATGTTGAGTGTAGAGATTACATGCATACATACATACATAAAAACTTAAAGAAAAAAAGCAAGAAAGTGCTGATACATGGTGCAATATAGATGGAGCTTAAGGACAAAATGCTAAGCAAAAGAAACCAGACTAGATACTATATGATTCCATTTATATGAAGTATCCAGAATAGGCAAATGTACAGACAGAAAGTAGATATACTAGTGGTTACCCAGGGTTAAGGGACGTGGGAAGGTTGGAAGGTGATGATTAAGGGATGTGGGGTTTCTTTTTGGGGTGATGAAAATGTTGCACAATTCTGTGAATACACTAAAAGCCATTTTAAACTTTAAATGAGTGAACTGAATCACACTTGAATTATATCTCAATAAAGCTATTAAAACAAAGCCTAGCAGAGAAGACTTTTTTAAGTAATCCTCTGGGCATTCAGCTTGTAAGAATTTGACTATCCAAATGGAAAGCCCCAGGACAAGAGAAATGTGGGACACATCTATCCAACACACAAGGTAAATCACTAGTCAATACTGCTATTTTAAAAATATTGATCTGGAATTAACAATGGTAAAGAGAAAAAACTTTTGAAAGAGTGGTAAATATGCCTATCCCCATATTCCTATCTTGAGAACCAGCAAAAAGTTTTCAAAGCAGAAAATTAGGTCAACCTGAAACTGATGGTCCACAAATGTCTCAGCAAGTTAAACAAGTCCAAAAAATTAAAGAGTGAATCTACGATATCTACGAGACTGACCAGTCAAAGGATAAAAAAGTCAACTCCACATTTTATACTTACCCTTCCTTCAGCATCAATCATTATTTCTGACATCTTAAAGGTGACTTTTGGATTTGCTGTGCCTTTAGAAAGAGATAGAAATGAACAGTAATGCAGATCCAAAATTATTCAAACAAATTTTGCCAGATCAATCCCCTTTACACTTTGTTTAAGTCAGGAACTTGGTAGAGTCAGGGCTTTATTGTATAAGAATCTCAGAACTCCATCTCAAATTCATAATTTTCACCATTGGTATATAAAAAAAAAAAAAGAGGTTAAAAACATCAAGAGTAGGTACGAAATAAAGAAGGGAAATGCTGTATCATTTTGTAATTAAATACTATAAACGGGGTTGCCTGGGTGGCTCAGTTGGTTGAGCATCGACTCTTGGTTTTGGCTCAGGTCATGATCTCATGGTTGGTGGGACAGAGCCCTGCGTTGGGCTCTGTACTGACTGCGTGGAGCCTGCTTGGGATTCTCTCCCCCTGTGCTCTCGCCCCTCCCCTGCACTCTCTCTCTCAAAATAAATAAATAAACTTTAAAAAATTGCTATAAACAGCAAAATGGGAAAAAATTACTGATTTATTAAGAACATAATCCCTTAAAAATCTTTATTTCCTAGCAAAGACACCTTTTTATTCATTCCTTGAAGTAACCAACCAGCTTTGTGCACTTCCCAACCTTTGAAAAAAATTTTAAAGAGATCAGCCTGTAATTAAAAAATCTACTTCAGGAGCACCTGGGTGGCTCAGTTGGTTAGGTGGCCAGCTCTTGATTGTGGCTCAAGTCATGATCTCGTGTTTCTTGAGTCCGAGCCCTGCACTGGGCTCCACACTGTTATAGTGTGGAGATTCTCTCTCTGTCCCCTCTCTCTGCTCTTCAGCGTGCATGCTTTCCCTCAAAATAAATAAATAAACTTAAAAAATTTTTTTAATTTTTCTTCTGTGACACTTAATGAACAACCCACTTTTACTAAGTCTGTAAATGATCAATGTTGACCATACCTTTGGATGACTGCAGAATGAATCTTGTTTGGAAAGCAGAAATGAGTGAATATAAATGCCAATGGAATATAGTACCTGTTTTAGGATAACGGAATGAATCTGCCCTCCTTGTTTCCAACATAGGGGATGTAACATGAATAATTTCCACCTCAGATTCATCATTTTCTTCATACAAAATTCTAAGAATTTTGCTGCCACTGGGAGCTTAAAAGGAATTTAAATATTGTAAATTTAGAAGAACTGTTCCATAGAGTAATCATAACTGACCATTTCCTCTAGTAGTATATTTCCCATAGTGAAAAATAATTCATGTATAAAATATACTGCATTTTGTGTATGAAACTATCATTAGCCTTTGTACTAAGAAGGTGAATTATTGTTAAATCACTTTTGCTGGTTAAGGGTTACTCCTTTTGGAAGGCAAAACCTGAAGATACTTATGTACATATATATATTTTTTTAAAATTTTAGGTAGGCTTCATGCCCAACATGGGGCTTGAACTTATGACCCTGAGATCAAGAGTCACATGCTCTACAGACTGGCACCCAGACTGCCAGCCAGGCACCCCTGTACATATACATCTTTAAACAGCAAAGGGGTGCCTCGGTGGTTCGGTTAAGCATCCTATTCTTGATCTCTGCTCAGGTCTTGATCTCAGGGTCGTGAGTTCAAGTCCCAAGTTGGGCTCCATGCTGGATTCCATGCTAGGGGTGGAGCCTACTTTAAAAAATTAAAAAATAAAAAAAAAACAAACAAAACCAGCAGAAACACATTTGTGAAGGTCTTCAGTCCCTGCGTACCTTAAAATGTATTCCTTGTTGAAAAGTGAATTACTTAATTATAACATTTCCTTTGATAAAATAGATGCAACTTAAAGAGTCCAGTTTTCTCTTAATAGTTACTCTAATTCATGTAAAATCTTGTTCTAACAAACACAATTATGGCAAACATTTTACATATTAAAATTAAATGTCCAAATCTAAGACATGGCTTAAAAATAAGTATTTTTAATAGTCCCTTAGAGAAGTGTTTAAAATACAAGCTGCTAGGATGCTCCTTCAGTGCAGCATGAGACTCTTGATCTTGGGGTCGTGAGTTCAAGCCCCACTTTGGGTGTAAAGCTAACTTAAAAAAAAAAAAAACAAAAGCTAGCTGCAAATAATTACTATGTCATGAAATGTATTAATGGGTAATAACCAGCATTTAAAATGTATAATGAACAAAAAAAATACAATATAAGAGTGCCTTTCACATAAGGATAAATATTGCTCCATGAAATTTGTTTTCAGTTTTTGTATATAATACATATATGAATTGTTAGGCTAGAATGTAAAGCAAATTTCTAAGTGGATCAAGGACAAAAAAATCTGAAAGCCACTGCTTCACGAGATCTGCTTCTCGGGCAGTAAACACTTGTGAATTCACCCAGAAAAAGGAGGAATTTGTGTCCTTTTTTCTGATCCATTCATACACTAATTTGGTCATACGTTCACGTAGACTCTCTAGTCAATCCTACATTTTTTAAACAATGCATTCAGGTGTAGTATTTTTTATTTTTCCACCAATGTTGCCAGCAAGATCAGCTTCTAGAAGAAAAAGTGGTAAAGAGTTGAAGGACCGGAGGTACTGAACTGCAATGGAATTATTTTTATTAGAATTCATTATGGTGGGATATAGCCTGTGTATTTTAAATAACTACTGGTAGGATCCAATTTTCAAGACTTCATAAGCTACTATTTAGGACTCAGAATCTATGCACTTAACTAACTGGGAGTTAAATCTCATGATACTTTGATTTATAATATTTTGAACTCCCTTACTTGTTTCAGCTTCTGGACACCACCAGTAGCCAGAGTATCTATCAAATTCTTCTTGAAGAACAAAGGTAGCAACTCCAGCTGATCTGGGATCTTCTTCCATGTTGGCTAGCTCTAGACAAACATAAAAGGCAAAATCACCACAGGAAATTCTCCATCTTTTCATAGATACTAAGCACAATGATTTCGTTTATTGTGAAATGCAGCTGTAGTACAGTGGTGAACTCTGGAACTAAATGGACTGGATTTAAATCTGAGCTCCATCATTTACTAACTGACTGACCTTGGATAAATCACCCAACCTCATTCACCGCAGTGTCCCATTTGTAAATGGGGTTGTTAGAATTAAATGAGTTAATTCACATAAAGCACTTAGAACAAAGCCTGAGCCAGAACATAAATGTTGGTTATTTCCCCATTTAGCTGGGGTCATAGGAAACAAGAATACATGTAGAGTGTCACAGTGATTTGTATCTTCTACACAGAAAAGTCCAACTTTAGACCTAGAATGGCTCCTACAGATCAGGTAATTCATCACTCTTCCTCCCCTTCTTCCATTCAACCAGAACATCTCAGCTTTCATCTGTTTTACACTTTCCAGCAAATAGTTTACAGCATATAATTTGAAGGGAACTCCTGCTTTAAAACTAAACTCCCCAGTGGGGTGCCTGGGTGGCTCAGCTAGGTAAGCATGCAACTTTGGCTCAGGTCATGATCTTGTAGTCCGTGAGTTTGAGCCCCACATTGGACTCTTTGCTAACAGCATAGAGCCTGCTTTGGATCCTTTGTCTCCCTCTCTCTCTGCCCCTCCCCCACTGGTTCAATAAATAAATAAATAAAACCTCCCCAAACCATGAAGCCATAATTTTTAAAGATTTCATGACATGGAGAAATGTTTACAATGTAATTGAATTTTAAAAAGCCATATTACTAAATGGCATGTACACTATAATTTCATTTAAAAAATGTTAAACATACATTTTATTTTTATTTATTTGAGAGAGAGAGAGAGAGAAAGAACCTCAAGCAGACTCGATGCTCAGTGTGGAGCCCAACACAGGGCTTGATGCCATGACCTGAGTAGAAATCAAGAGTTGGACTGAGCCGACTGAGCCACCCAGCCACCCAGGCACTCCCCAACACTTTATTTCTTAATTTTTTTAAATGTTTATTCATTTTTGAGACAGAGAGCGACAAAGCATGAGCAGGGGAGGGGCAGAGAGAGGAAGACACAGAATCTGAAGCAGGCTTCAGGCTCTGAGCTGTCAGCACAGAGCCTGACGCAGGGTTCAAACTCATGAACCATGAGATCGTGACCTGAGCCGAAGTCGGATGCTTAAACCAACTGAGCCACCCAGGCACCCCATCCCCAATATTTTAAAATGCTTGTTTCCGGGTAGTTGAACATTTGACTCTTGATTTCGGCTCAGGTCATGATCCCAGGGTGGCAGGATAGAGCCCCTTGTCAGTCTCTGCACTGGGCATAGAGCCTGCTTGAGATTCTCTCTTTCTCTCCCCATCTGCCCCTTTCCCCAGCCTGCGCTCTCTAAAAAAAAAAAAAAAAATGTTGGGGATATAAATCAAAATGTGGTTCTCTCCAAGTAATGAGACAGACTATGGACAAGCATTTTTTTAAATTGCTTTATAATTTACAAAATCTTAGGTATATATATTTGTGATAAATGTATACACTTGTGTAACCACACCTCATCAAGACAGAATATTTCCAACACCTAGAATGTATTTTCATGTCTCTTCTCAGTCAATGCCCATTATCACCCCAGAAGCAACCAATGATCTGATTTCTATCATCATAGGTTAGTTCTGCATATTCTAAAATATCACATAAGTGAACTCATACTTTGCTTTTTGAAATTCATCAATGTTGTTACACATATCAATAATTCACTTCTGTTAATTGCTGGGTAGTATTCCATAGTATATCACAGTTCCTTTATCCATTCACCTGTTAATGGGTTATCTGGGCTACTTCTAGTTATTGGCAACTATGAATAAAGATGTTAATCTTTCTTGTATAGGGATCTTTGTGGGTGTATGCTTTCATTTCTCTTGAATCAGGACCCAGGAGTGGAATGCCTGGGTAGTATGGTAAGTGTTCATAAGAAACTGCCACAGTTTTCCAAAGTACTTGTATTATTTTATATTCTTACTAGCAATGGATGAAAGTTCCTTTCTAGTATTTGTGTTCAGAATTAATCTTTTTCACTTTAGCCAGTCTAATAAGTGTATGGTAATACCTCATAGTGATTTCAATATTATAAACCAGTTTCAATGTATTATTTTTGCTTATCTGTATTTTCTACATATTGTCTGAAACAAATATGCAAAATGAACCCATAATCCGCTACCCAAAAATTTGAGTCCAGAAGTGTTTGGAACTCAGAATTTGGGTGATTTTTCATATATATTATATATATCTACCATAAAATTATATAACATCTCCAGCAGGGGAATCAAATACCCTGTAACTGAATACACCAATATTCCTACAGCAAACTTATGAATAGACACACTAAGTAGGATTAAGATTATAAATATCCTCAGGTCAGTTCAGGTCAGATTTTGCCACCAAATGAGTTTTAGCACCAAGCCAGTGAAAAGTAAGCTCAGTTTTTAAGAGTTTTTTGAATTTTGGAGTGAATGATATAGCCAAAACCAGTGTTCAGTTTTCCTGGATCTTTAAACTACCCCAAAGGTGTATCCACGCTACTGTTTTATATTTTGTTCTCCTTTAGATGTGAGAACAGGTACCACTCATTTTTATCTCCCTTTCACTGACTACAGACCTCAATTATTAAGAGTTATTTATTAAATGAATAAAAGCTATCGCTTTGTTCGTCTGATACATCATTTGATAGTAGAGGCTGGTACTGTATTACTTTAACATTCCTTTATCATACCAGGCAGAAAATAAACACATGCACTTGCTCACTGACTAAACTCACCTACAAGCAGACTTTCACTTGGAAACTTATTGTGAATAAGAGGAGTAAGAGTGAAGACACTTACTTTGTATTTACTTTTCTATTTAAACTAACACACTGCACTTACCATGTATCAGACACCATCCTAAGCACTTCACAAATATTAACTCATTAAAACCTCCTAACAGCACTATAATGATCTGCCTTTTTAGATATGGAAACTGAGAGGTTAAATAACTTACTCAAGGTCACAGAACTAAAAACTGGTAGATCTGGAACCCAAACTCAGCTCTCTGGTTCTAGACTATATCTTTAGTACACTAATCTTGAAAATGATAAACATATCACAACCTACATGCACAGAAAGGAAAAATAATAAAAACAATACTATAGCATCACACATGGCTCCGGTGCTCTCTACTTTACATTCTGTCAATCCTCACCATAATCCTGTGTGGAAAACAATTCTACAGAAGAAAAAATAGACTTAAAAAATTCCTTAATTCTATCAGTTACTGTCAGAACTTTGTAATCCCAGACTCAAGTACAATAACTAGTATGTAGTGCGTGTTCAATGTCTGTTGAAAGCATGAACAAATGGCTAGGATTTCCAACCCAGATTTACGAATCACCGATCTAATCCTTCCATTGCCACTAGCAGCTGTTCTGATTCCCGGACTCCAAATGGAGACCCATTAAACACCAAAACATGTACTTTTCACTTAAAAACTTCCCTACTCCATCCCCTTTTAACTGATGTTCTAGTTTTAGATCATTAAACCTAGATCATTTCAACAGTCAACTTTTGGTGTTCCTGTCTCTAGTCCTGTGCTTTTCAAATATAACCTTCACAAAGTATCGAAAACAATTTATCTATCATATGACTCTGCCCATACCACCCAATTGATAAAAATGTTTCAGTGGATGCCCATATCATTCTAGAGACCCTGTCGATTTACACAAGATACAGGTTACCCCTGTCTTGGCTCTTTTTATCTGCCAGCCTTACTTTTCCCTTCTTCTTGACTCATACCTTATACTTTAGGAACCATCAGATTGCTTTAACTCCTCACAAACATCACTTTCTGCATCAAGACCTTTCTCATGTGGTCCCCTCACCTGGAGTGTACAGGCTAATGTATACTCGTATCTAAGATGAGTTTAGGTGCCAGTTAGGTGTCATCTCTTCTGGGAAGCCCTTCCTGAACACTACCCTCACTGATGCTCTTATAACACCCTATGTTTGCTTATCACTGTTTTATCATTCATGTAGTTTCCTTGAGGGCCTGGGTTATGTCTTATTCAACTCTGTATTCTTAGTTCCTGCCGCATTACCTGGCACACAGGAACTTAATGTATTTTTCTTGACTGAATAGTTAGAACAGGTTTCTTGACTTCTAATTCAGTGTTCTTTCTACCAATGTAAATTGTTCAGGAAAAGGCTTCTTCTATAACACTGATTATCCTAATAATGAAAAAAATATTTGTTGTCAATACACTATTGTATTCTAAAATAATTTATTAAGAAAGATGCCCAGGGACGCCTGGGTGGCTCAGTTAAGCATCCAACTCGATTTCAGCTCAGGTCATGATCTCATGGTTCATGAGTTCAACCCCATGTCAGGCTCCACACTGACAGTGCAGAGCCTGCCTGGGATTCTGTGTCTTTCTCTCCTTCTGCCCCTCGCCTGCTCACTCCCTCTCTCTCAAAATAAATAAATAAACATTAAAAAAAAAAAGATGCCCAATAAATCAGATTTGTGAACATTAGATTAAGCAAGAGTTGAACAAATGAATTTTTAAAATTTTATTTATTATTTTTTTAAAATGTTTTATTTATTGGGGCTCCTGGGTGGCTCAGTCGGTTAGGTGTCCGACTTCAGCTCAGGTCACGTTCTCAGGTTCATGAGTTTGAGCCCTGCTTCTGGCTCTGTGCTGACAGCTCAGAGCCTGTAGCCTGCTTCAGATTCTGTGTCTCCCCCTCTCTCTGCCCCTCCCCCACTCACGCTCTATCTCTCTCCATCTCAAAAATGAATAAATGTTAAAAAAAATTTTTTTTAATGTTTTATTTATTTGGTGGAGGGAGGGGCAAAGAGAGGGGGACAGAGGATCCAAAGTGGGCTCTGTGCTGACCAGTTGACAGCAGCGAGCCTGATGTGGGGCTTGAACTCAAGAACCATGAGATCATGACCTGAGCTGAAGTCAGACACTCAACAGACTGAGCCACCCCGGCACCCCTGAACAAATGTTTCACTATGAAACTTCCTAACTTTAAGTTGTTTCATGTGTTCAAAGAAAAAGCAATACACTATTTCCCATATTTCATTTGTATGAAAGCTTTAGAGGAAAATATTCACCTCTTTAGAGGAAAACAAAGCACATCTGTGCTTTGAGTAGCGCTTAGTATTACTATAATCACTTAATGAAAATTAAATATTTCCATAATACACACAGTTCTACAAAGTGTTGTTTTTCCTATTATGACAAAATAACTAAGTAGCCTCTCCAAAAGGGGGAGATAAATTTTTGGTGCATATTAGGTCTTTGTTTCCCAAAAACAAGATTAATTTTTTAAATTGAAATTTGATTTTAATGAGAACCATTTTGGGGTAATTCTGGCAGTCTTATTAAGCTAAAGGAACAATCATGTCAGAGGCATTACTGTTGTGCTTTCTGAAAATGAACATTCAAACAAGGTAGCGTTTTGCATGTGGTAAGTACTATGTATCCTCTGTACTTTTTTATTAATTTTAAAGATTTGAATTTAAAATATGAAGGCCAGCCACCTTGCCTCCATTTCATAAAGTAAGCAAGAGCAAAATTTTAAAAATATTTTTCAGAAAAGCAGATTTGCAGAACTATGTGTTACCATTGTGCACATAGGTGAGCCTTCTTTCTTCTCTGGTTACAATGTTGGATATCCAAATATCATTGCTGTGTATAAAAGCAATCCAGTCTGGATCAGCCGGGCATAATTTAGGATCCATACGAATGTTGGGACAACTAGTCTCTACTAAATTTGGCCGTAAGGGTTGTTGCTAGAAAAGAAAAAACATTTTTAGGAAAGTATCAGGCTGATACATACATACTCATTTGCCAACACCCTTCAATGGAAAAGAATTCCAAGTAAAATGTCAACTATGATAATTGCTCCTCAGAAAAATTCACTTTTGGGGCGCCTGGGTGGCTCAGTTGGTTGGGCAGCTGACTTCGGCTCAGGTCATGGTCTCACAGCTCATGAGTTTGAGCCCCACATCAGGCTCTGTGCTGACAGCTCAGAGCCCAGAGTCTGCTTCAGATTCTGTCTCCCTCTCTCTCTACCCCTCCCATGCTCATGCTCTGTCTGTCTCTCTCTCTCTCTCTCAAAAATAAATAAACATTAAAAAAAATTTATAAAAAAGAAAAATACACTTTTGCATTCCTTAACTTATAAGGACAGACTCATTTTTTTTTTTT